GACAAAATTAATATATATTTTTAAATTAAAAAACATAAAATTAATATCTTTATTTATATATTCTCTTAAAAGTTAGTTTTGGTGGGCGACTTACCTCACTAATTAATATATTAACTTGAATGTTAAGTTTTGGGCTTACATCACCGATTAATATATTAATTTAAATGTTAGATTTTGGGCTTATATAAAATCCTTGGGTTGATTCTTAGCTAAATCTACTTAAATTTGGCACGTGACCTAAAGGTTCAATGACATTAGTTATTAAACATGTCCGACAGTTCCTTCAAGAGGAGTCTTTTGAAAGAAATCCTGACATTTATTGCCTACTTGAATCGGGGATTGATATTGATGAAAGTCATAAAGACAAAGTGGATGAGCAATCACATGTTGAGCCCAGTGAATTTGACCCCTTGAAGAAAAAGCATGATGCTGTATTAAATTGATTTCATCTTTTAGAACAAATGAATGCCCTTCCTAATATGGGTCCCCTTGAGGATGCATACTCTGACCAAGCTCCAAGACAAACTGTTGTTGCATTGACAAATAGCAACCCTAATCTTAAGTTCGAAGAAAGCACTCTAATGGAGAATTCATGTTTTTCTGAGGTTTCAAAGTTAACCTCTCTTGGAAAGGATGACTATTTTTGAGATTCATTGCAGAGTGATTTTGTTGATTGTGATGATAAAGTTTCAGATCAGTTTCCATATGGCATTACTGTTGCAACTTCAGTTCCTGGAGAGGAGTTTCAATTGAATGACAATGTGATAACTTTCCCTCATAGTTTTGCAGGTGACTTGAAGTGTGTCTCTGATTCTTCTAGTGCTCGAGTCTACTGAAATGACAGGTTCAATGATACACTCTGAGAAAAGCATGGTAGACTTGGTTGATTTTAAGAGCATGTCCTCAAGGGAATCATTTTTGGTTGAGAATTCAAATGAAAACTCATCTGATACTGTATCTTTGCATAGCCCTAATGATTTGGCTCGGTTTTTCTCTCTAATGGGGCTACCACCTTCACCATCAACCAGAATTTTGCCCCAGAAGAACAAGGTATCAGAGACGAGATTAACTTCCTCCACCAGTGTCCAATCATTGGACCTAATTGATTCAAGTGCTCTTAGGACCCACTGAAATTTCATGTTCAGTTGTATCTTCTAAGAAAAACATAGTAGAAACAGCTGATTTTTCAAGCAAGTTCCTGTTAAGTGGATCCTTTGTGCTCGAGGATTCAAATGAAAACTCACCTGCAAGAGAAGTATGATGTCATAGCACTGTTGATGTGGCTGGGTTTGACTCTCACACTGTTCTTCCATCTTCACTGGCAAGTGAAATTTTATCTGGGGAGAAGACATCAGAGACTGGATTGTTTTCGAGTGTCTTGTGATCAGAATCAAGTGGTTAGTATATCTAGACTCAAATGCAAAAGAAACACTGTTGCTTTCCTTCATAGTTGATTTTCATTTCACATGTATTGTGGTTCTATCAGTGTTAATGTCCCAGCATGGTTCTAGGTCTGTCTGTGTTGCATGCATTTTAAGCTCATATATCCTATGTTTTGACTTTTGACTTCTTTTGTAATAAATCATTAGTTTTCCATCAAGCTTAGGGGACAAAATAGGCAGACGGCCATTTGACCACTATAATAGAAGTGAAATTGCAAAATATATGTGTCATATAGTGTATGCATGAGATAATTTTACTTAGTTAACGATGAAGTTTGGATTGCATTTAGGAGGAGATATTGTTCTCTCTTCTATAAACCGCAATTTACCCTCTTATATTTGATCTCTTTCTTTGGTTAATTCTTCTTTCCTCTCCTTTTTTAAGGTATTTGGCATTGATAACACTAGCTTATTCAATATGCAACTATTTGACTGAGGCTTTATAGCATAAAATATTCCCCTATGTCTATACTGATGTATATTTTTGAAGTTTAACTGATTTAAAAATTTTCTACACGGCCATCAGATGACTCCAATGATGTGTTTAGTATTTCTTCCATAGAAGCTTGAGGATAGTTGTGTTTATGTGGATAATACTGCACTTCATGCTGTCTTCTGTCCACTCAGGAAAAACAGATCATACAAGGTACATACTAAGTCTAACATAGAAGAATAACCACGGAAGAGAGTAATTTTAATAAGGGATGCATTTGATTAAGTTTCCTGTGTGTAATTCACCTTGTATGTAATCTTTCCTAATTCATAACCTCAGCTTATTAATAAGATATGTTTTGGTCTTCTGTTTAACCAGAAAATGTTCTGGGATGTTTTAACTGCAAAAAAGAGTTTGGGAAGGGGTATGAGCAGCTAGCAATTTGGTTTGGAGATGCTGAAATAGGTTCTAACAAAGAATCTATGCAAATCTTCTTCCATCTACAACTGCCACAACTATGGGGTGCGAAAATTTTGCAAACAGAAGCTGAAGGTGATTCTAGATGGGAACTTTTGTAAATAATTGCAGAAGGGGTTGCTGCTCAATGTAACTGGACTCAACCACAGGCCTCATGCTTGTACAGGCATAATCGTTGTACCACGAATAAACAAACATGGTTGGTGATATGTCTATCGAAAGAACCCTTTCATAAGTGGTAAAAACATTGCAACTTGTTCATGGCATTTATCGTTTGCACTTTTCTCTTGTATGGTTACCACTGCTAAACATACCAATTCTCTCTTGTTGAAAAGAATAGGATGAAAATTACTCTTTTTTATAAATGATTCTATCAAATATCTTGATTTTACATTCCCTTATTTGCAAACACCCTCCCATGGTGGAGAAGGGATTGTAGCTGAGCCAACTTATGTGCTTGCAAGTTACGCTACGCTTTTGATGCTGGAAACATAGAGAAACAAAATGGAATTTCTTGGCTCGAAGTTCCTCCACAATTGCTCCAAAGGAAGATAACAACCATTGTTTGACATAGCTACTTGTATGGCTTCAACACAATTTGATTCAATGATGACATTGCTGTGTCCAAATTCTCTACCCCTCTCCAATGCAAAATCAATAGCCATAACCTCAGCTTGAAGGACTGATCCTTGAAACCTACAAGTTCTTTGCACAGTTCCTATAACTTTGCTGTCACATTTCCCAAGGACAACTCCAAACATGGCTATGCCTTGCCGTTGTCATACTGCTGCATCAGCATTGAACTTAATGGAATCTCCTTGAGGAGGTTGCCATGATACCATAGGTTGCACATTCCTTCCTTGTCTCTATTTTGGTGTTCTTAGTCCCCAATGCTTCTATATTCAACAATGTATTCAAAGATCCCTTTTATATTCTAATCCAGAATATTGATCTTTAGTTATTGTAAAATGTCATGAACTACTCTTCCTAATGACCAGACTAGATCCAGCTACCCAGTATATGATGCTTCTTACATTGGAAATGTCTCACAGAAGCAATTTGTTTGTCGTAGCTGCCTGGCTTCCATTCCCAGCTCCTGAAAGATGCAGCTATAATCATCAGCTTCTTAATGTTGATATTTGGAATGTTTGTTTACTAATAGAAAACAGCGAGTGAAACATACCACAGATCTGTTGGGGACATAGTGATGAAGAAGACCCTCTGAACTAGAGGATTGATGTTGGATTTTAACTACTTTGCCAAGTTTCCATAACTGAACCCAAAAACTTGAAAACCGAGAAGAAAGTCAGAACAATCTGTTGGATTCCAGAATGTATGCTCAAATTATAAACTTGCTCTTGCAGCACAAAAATCAGAAGAATTTCTGCTAAAAAAAATTTGGATGGAATCAGAAGCCTTAGATGGAAAACTGGGTACTTACCTAACATAGTTCTTAGGTTGACATAGCTCTCAAACACCCTCATGTCAACTCCTTCCTAGCTCTTGCCATTTTTGGCTTTGGCATCAAGGTTCACCAGTCGTCTCAGGACAGTATGATTTTTTGCATGGTTTGAATTAGACTCCAGAATGAAGGGCTCCCAGTAGTACTCAATTGATGCATTATACACCTAAAACACATTTCAAAAACTCAGAATGCTGAGGTCAATTGTGTAACACGGATACTTTAAATGTTTAATATGTTACTCCTTAAATTTAAGCATTCTAACTATTTAACACATGTTAAATGTAGATTTCTTCGGAATAAGTGAAGAATTTGAGTAACATAGGAAAGCAGGATAGGCAGAAAATTATGATACCTCAGCATTGAAGATCTTCATGTAAGTAATTCCATGAAAAGATTTTCTTTCTCCTCAGAAATCATGGATTGCACCAAAGAAGACATTGCCTCAAATTGGTTCTCTGCACTGAATCTATGAACATCAATCTTTTGCTCCTCAAGATGTCCAACAGCTTCAGTGGATCATAACTAGGACATTTCAAATGCCTTGAAACCATATGAAACCAAATACGCCCTTTACAACCCTTAGAAAAGGGAACCCAAGTTAAACAACCAAGATGACTGAGAATCATGTCCTTTTCTATAGCACACATAATATAAAAAATTACTTATCTTGGTAGTTGGCGTGAATCAAGCTGTCACCTCCAGATTTCATATAGACCTTATGAGATAATGAATCAGGCCTCCCATTGTAGATGAAGTAGAATTAGATTTAATATAATGTCCAACCAAAAGAAAGAATGAGATCCAATGAAGAGGGGTGGCTAGCAAGAAGTAGAAACTTTATTCTGCCCAAATTAACTCTCTTGAAGAGTGATGAGGTATTGCCCTGCTTGGAATCCTTTACTTTCCCTGCTTTCTTTTGGTCTCCTGCTTTGTTTCCCAGATAAGGAGTAGTGTTTCCTACTGCAGGAGACTTCTTGGCTACAGGAGGCCTGGCATTGAAAGGCAAAACTGTAAGGAATGTGGTTGTTAGGCTCTAGGTTGCTTACAATCTAAAATAAGCATAATGAAATCAAATAAAATTGCAAAGCCTTCAGTTAAGTACACTGGCCAGAAAAAGGCAAAAAACATTGTTAAAACCACTCCATAGTTGTAAAGCCCAAATGAATGCAGTTCATTCAACTAAGAAGCAAAAATTAACATCTGTTTGAAGTTGGAGAGGATTCATACTAGTTTCAGAAAGCATATTTTCATTCTTAGTTGGAGAGGACTTTTAACTGTTTCTGCTTTTGCTGATGCCTTTTGGATCAATACATGGCAGCTGTCTGGCGGGATGAGGCTAAATTGATGGCATCTTCATACTCGTCTACACCCAATGAATCCAAAACCACCTTTCATTCTTGTTGGCTTCACCTTTAGAATCTTCACTAAAATTAAGATCATCAGATGGTGCACAACTGGACCTCAACTTTGCAGAAGCATAGTCGCATAAGTTTGCTAATGAACCTACACCTCCAAAAGAGTAAAATAATTACTCAAGGAATGTCCAATAAATTCTGATGGTAGCCATAAAAGCATTTCATAACACCACCATAGAATTTTCTTTATTAGCAAATAACAATATATGAGAAGATAAACACTTCCAAGACACAAAAAACTTGAAAGGAAGTTGTGATCTCCAAAAGAAAAATGTTCTGCTAGAAGATAGCCAGAAGCAGAATCAACCACCAAATTCTCAAAAAATCTAAACTTAAATAACCATAAAACGCCTACCTGTTATCTCTTAAAGAATTTTCAATATTTGAAGTATGCTACTCTAGGAAAACTCTTGAAGCCTGGAAAAATTCAGCATTCCAGAGTGTAGCTCACAATACTTTGCAATGCATTCTTGAACACTGTACACCTAAACTGAGCTATTGCCATCAAATTCTTGCTTAGTTTCTGCAAGAAATTCAGAGAAGAAATTATCACATTATTGCTTTGCTATAGAATTCGAAAAATTCCATTTATGATAGCAAAAGAATTTATCAACAATTATGAGAGTTTGTGTCTCCATTCTTGTGGCTTGTGAATGTGAACTTTAACTACATTCTTGAAGAGGAAAGATGTTCACCTCCTTGCAACATTTCATGACACCAAAAGGTTACAACTCAGCCACTTGTAGGAAACCTGAAAACGATACTAATTATATCAGAAACTTTATCTTGTACAAACCTTTTAGCTTAAGAACCTGAAAAGCATATATTTTATTACTATTGTAGGTGAATAATATTAATTTTGAGGGGTCAAAGTACAAACAGAGATAGAAAATGAAGACAGCAAAATTGACACTTTACTACTTGGAGTTCATCAGAGACTAGAGCCTGGATCTCTTCCTGCCAATTGCCTACCAATTGTGCTGAAATCTGCATTTCAAAAGGGCTCAATTTCAGCCATACATACACAAAAATCAATTTATCTATAATGAAAAAAAGTATAAATCCCTAATGAAAATTAAATAAAATTCTTAGTCAAAAAACTTACTGCTTAGGATTTACGAGAGCTGAGTTCTTTTTTGTTATGGATTCCTAGACAGGAACTCCATCTACTGTTCACTTCAATCTACAGAACTTGTTTCCCTTTCAGTAACTAAAACAATCAAGGATTGCAAATGATAGAAAAGCAAATGAAATGAAAGAAAAAAACCGGCAAGAGTGGAAAAAGGCAGTGGAGTATTGTCAAAGTGTTCTCCACTGGTCAAGTCAGCAAAGCAGATATGAAAGGTACATACCTATTACAATAATTTAAGATTACAAATTGACAACAGATTCATTATATGAAGCAATCAAGCACCAAAGAAACAAGAGTAGAAATCCCATAATATAACACGCTTAACAACTTACAATACAAAGAAATTACCAAAAGATACAAAACCAAGTTCATCCAATAAAATTAAAAAAAAAAAAAAAAAGACATAAATTGAAAAACAAAAATTTATCATAAATGAAACCAAAGACTATTGGCAGTGGGTGAGTCCCTCTTGATTTTGCTTTGCTTGAGAAAAGATCCTACAAACAAATAGCAGAGCTTTAAAATATATTGAGAAATCTGAAGCCAACCAGAGATCTAGGAATTGATCTTATAGGAATTGATTCCATACTACTAATGTGGTTTGCAAGATGTTGACAAATCTCAGTATACCAAAAAAAAAAAAAAAAAAAGAAAAAATCAAATGAAAAAAGAACCATTAATGTTCCAACAACAGACATTAGCCAATCTTTATCACCCACGATTTTGTTACTACCCAAACCCAAAAACCAATTTCAGCGAGCCATACATACCCAAACCCAAAAACTAATTTCTATATAAATGTAATGAAAGTATAAAAGCCGAAAATAATAATGATCAAAGTCAAAATATGGATACTTACATAATTGGAGTTTATGAGATAGCACAGGAGAGCAGAGGGTAAAGGGTGGATGCATCTCAATCTCATCTCTTCCACAATGCATAGGCTTCCCATGTAGACGCCCTTTTCCCATCATTCCTGTTGTGGAGTGCTGGAAGAAGAGGTTTTATTGGCACGTGTTATTGGGCTCGCACGTGACTCGTTTAGCTTAAAACTGAAAAGTTGAAGATTTGTCAATAACTCCCCTTTCGGATGCAATGACAGAAATTTTAAACAACAAAACAAATCAAATTCAAATTAGAATAAATCAATCAACCCCTTACCCCCATTCTCTAAAAATTTCAAGAAAGGTTGGAGTATGTTCTTAGCATTAGGATGATCCAACTCAACCACAGATTCCCACCATTCTTTTGACTTTTCATCTATCGCGATTCTTCTGAGACAAGGAGGAGGAGATGGCTGACCATTATTAAGCAGAGGAAGCTGTAAATGGATCCTCTTTAACTCTGGACATCTAATTATGATAATTTCTTCAATAGAATCACAAACCATAGCTCCATTGGCACTGCAGATGCTCTTCAATTGGTCCATGTGCCACAAGCGCAATGTCCTTAACTTGGGAAAAGTGAACTTATCCGATGATGCATCTGAATCTGATGAGGCTATTATCTCCTCCATTTGTTCGCAATCGCCAACATCAATCTCCTCTAAGTTTTGGAGGACATGCAGTAGCTCAAGTGGAAATAACTTCCTTATTCCCGAACACCTGCCTATTCTAAGAATTTTAAGATTGGAAAAGATGTGCGGTGGTATTGCTACTCCTTCCACTCTCACCAATAAACACAAACTAGGCAAATGCCAAAGATCCAATTCTTCAAGCTTATTGAGAACTGGATAACACAATGAGGAGGAGGATGAGTCCAACTCAACCAAGCACTCTATCCCTTCAAAACCCTGAATAGAACACCTTCTCAACTCGGTTGCATTTTCTAACAAAACTACTTTGGTTAAGCTGCATCTCATGTTTTTCATGTTTTTACAACGCTGCATCAACAATGCCTCAAGCTTATCTGGAAGCACTATACATTCTTCTCCGATCTCACACCCTACAATCACAACCTTTTTTTTTTGAAAAGCCCTACAATTACAACCTTACGTTGTAATTCAGCATATACTCCATATTCAAAGCCGTATTCTTTCTTCATAAGCAGTTGAAGATCATAAGCCGTACGACTTTCAAAATCTTTAGACTTATTGACTAGATAGTTGAAGTCTAGTATGCCCTCCATTTCACATTTCAAACTCTCCAACTTGCTCAATCTAACAATCTCTTCTAAATTTATCCTTGTGGTAATTCCGCTGCTTAGATCTACAACCAGGTACTGGAGACTGGAAAGTTTAGGTAATATTCCCGTTGGAATCTCTTTCAGATTTCGACAAAATAAATCAAGATATTCAAGACTTACCAACATCTCCAAGCCTTGAGGGACCTCCTCAATCCCTGCCCTATGCAGATCCAACTTCTTCAATGCCCTAAGCTCTGCTACGGAAGGCAAGTACTTTAACTTAATGCAATACCCCAACCGCAATGCAGAGAGATTCAACAAGTTAGAGATGGAATCAGGTAGTGCTTCAATACCAGTATCAGAAAGATCAAGAACCTTAAGTCCGACCATATCTTCAAAAAAGGAACTTGGAATCTCTAACAAATTAAGATTCCATGACATTATCAAAGTTGTCAGCAACGGACACTTTGGAGACAAACCAACAGGAATTTTTGAAATTTCATTTGCCATTAAAGATACCTTCTTAATATCATTTCCCCATCCACGCTCATTTGGTACCTCTGTCAATTTCATACCAGCTTTTCCCATATATCCAAATCCAGGACCAATGCTTTTGATAGCCATGTCTCTCACAACATCATGCATCTTAACTCCATGAATTCGAACACTTTCCTCTAACAAGAAATTCTGTTGGAGACTATTTAAAATAGCATGGCCCCTATCATAAGCTGCTTGTCTACTTCCCAACTCATCAATCAGTCCTTCATCAATCCAATCTTCTATCAACTCCTTTCTAGAAAACTCATGATCTTCTCGAAACAAGGAGCAATATAGAAAACATTTTTGGATTTGCAAACTTTTTAGACGGTCAAAACTAAATTTTAACCGCAAAAATATCTCATCATCTGAACCTTTCACACTCTTAACACCTTTTTGTAACTCTGTAAGGGCATTTCTCCACACCTTAATATCAGCCACTCCTTTCATGCTTCCTGCTATCACAACAATAGCAAGTGGTAAACCAGCACACTCATTCACAACAAGCTTCAAGATTTCTTGCAACCCAGAAATTTTTAAAACATCATGTCCAACTTTATTGAGGAATAGAGTTAAAGACTCCTTTTGTGAAAGAGGCTGCACTTTAACAATCTTACAATCTAAATAACTGCATACGTCTGCTGATCTACTAGTGATAATTACTTTGCACCCATTTTGCACTGTCGGTTCTGGAATTCCAACATCCGTGAGAGAGAACCTTTCCCATACATCATCTAATATTAGCACAAATCTCACTCTTCTCATTATTTCCATTAGTGCTGCTGCTCGCATCATCACCTCTTCATTCTCTAGAAGTCTTTCGCCCATAGCATCAGCAATCTTCATTTGTAATTCAAAAATATTGAGAGGATGCGATGCAGTAACCCAAATCACTTTCTGAAATCCAGTCTGTCTTTTTAAATCATTGTGGAGATTCTTCATGATTGTAGTCTTTCCAACTCCACCAATCCCACAAACTCCAATCATTCCAAACTCATTACCCATCAAGTACTCCCAAATTTCATCTGTAGTAGAAATTTCCCCCACTAAATTCTCTGTTGGAATTATGACCCCACGAGATGGAGCTCTCTCAATCACAAGGCCTTCATTGAAAATGCCCCTCTCTTGAATTCTCCTCAACACTTCAAATTTTTCACGCACAACCTTACAAAGACTGGCACGTTTGAGGTATGGAACTCTGCGTGCCCTTTCTTCAACATCTTGTTTGTCTTTCTCGATCTTTCGAACATCGTTAAGCCAGCCCCTCACTTCCTGTTTGACCACTCGCCCCGAGTAAACCTCTGCTTGTATTCTTGATTTAACGTTAATTCTTCTCCTCTTTAAAACCTGAAATTCGCTTCTGAACTCATTCAGATCTTCTTCAAGTTTTCTGTGGCAGCCTACATAATTCCCAACTATCTTTAAGATTTCAAGAAATGCCTCCATCAATGAATTGCCTAAAATGTAATAGTTATGCTGTTAAAATTAGTTTTTGTATGGAATAAAAAATGTAAGAAACAAGGACTTATGATGAACTGACAGACTTTTATCTACGTTGTTCGTTATACTTATACTTCTACAATAATTTTTTACATAAAAAATATTTATTTTTTAAAAACAGTATAAAAATTAAAAAAAAAATCTCAAATATAATGAAGAGGTAAATTTTTAATATTTTATGCAAATAAATATAAATAAAAATTATGTATAAATTGACTTCACTCAAAAACAATTTAAATAACGAAGTACAGGATACCTGGCATCACTAATGTATAAAACATGATTCATTTCTACTGTCTATTTTAAAAAGGCAAAATCTAAACATAGGAAGAAAAAAAAAAAAGGAAAAAGAAAAAGAAATAAAAAAACTAAGAAGAAGTACACGACATGATTCATGCATACAGTTCGGCTATAAGCTCATTAATATTTTCTTATGGCGCTTATGAAGCAAGCGGTTTAATGTTTATATTTTCTTCCTTAATTAAGTAAAGCAAAAAATATTAGATTTGAATTGTATTATGTTGGTAAAGTATGTTAAACCATAAAGAAATTTGCGGTACATAAAGAGTAGGCATTAAAAACCATAAACATATGATTAAGAATATATGGTTATCATTACTACCAAACTCAAAATTTAATTTTTTTACATATCAGTGAAAAAGTAATTCAATAAAATTACTTTTCAGTGCATCTGTAACCCAAATATATATATATATATATAAGAAAACATTTGCTTATTTCATAATGACCACAACGCATTCCCTTTAATTTCGCATTTGGTAA